TCTCAAAGCCACTGTCGCGGTTCTTCGGGCTTCCGTGGGTCCAGCTTGGCCAAGTTCCCGAGCCTAAACAGAAACTCAGCGGGCAGTCAAGTCAGACGCGTTGCCTTAGGCGCGTTCTCTTGCGGGTCTTTTTGCGGGTGTGTTTTACACGTTGCCCACCCCCACCCGCAATAAGGACTCGCCCTGGGGAGCCCGAATCTGCTCGCTCAGTCAAGTTCCACAACGGCCGAGCTCCGGCTCTCCTGCCACGCTTCTAGCCTCCCGAACCCAGGAGGAAGTAGAATACACTCGCCGAAGCCCACCGAAACATCTTCTCGCACCCACCCGGGACGAATCCGTTTCACCCCCGCCAGCCGGTGTTGAAGGCGAAGCTTGCAGTTAGCAAATTACAACTACGAGAAGACGGTCGTTGAGAGCGGGGGGGAGGCATTTCTTGCCCTCCAGCCGACCTAAAGGCAGCTGTGGGTCCTTCCCAGTAGCCGGCTCCGAGCTCGCTTCCACCCCCCTCACCTTTCTCACTAGTCTCCCCGCCAAGACCGCCTCCTAAATAGCGTCCAGTAAGTTCAGGCGGGATTCCTAGCAGGAGCAGGAAACAGGTTGGCTCGCTCGGGGTGTGTGTGTGTGTGAGAGAGAGAGAGAGAGAGAGCGGGTGCGCGCCCGCGCGCCCGCGCGTGTGTGTTGGCAGCCAGACGGAGATTTTTTCCCCCGCAATTAGCCTGAGGGTCATTAAAGTGGTTTTTCCATGCAATCCTGGGCCTACGAGGAAGCCTTTCTCCTCCGATCTCTCCGAGCTGGGGGTGGGGGGGGGGGGTGGAAGTTGCCTTCTGCAAAGGCTCAAAGCTGGTAGGAATTGGAGGGGGGGGAGAGGCAGGAGTGGGGCGGAAGAGGAAGAGACGGCCGGGAAAGGAGAGAGGTCGTCGGGGAGGGGTGGCCTAGCTGTAAAACTTTTTATGCCAAACAAAGTTATAAAAACTTTCCATGCGTTAAGATATTAAAAGGTTTTATAACAATCATAAACCTCGTATGTGGCAACGGGTGTCTGGGTGTCTATGCGTTAATGTCCATCTTTTTTTCCCCTCTAGATACATGAAACTACTGAGCAGCTGAGTTAAATATGAAGGGTCATAAAACGCCGCGGCTGGGTTCGAAATTTGGGTGGCTCTCCCAGACACGCACACGCGCGCGCGCGCACTCAACCCCCCCCCCACTCCCGGCCAGTCCACTTACTTGAACTCAGTAGGCGGGAACATTGAAGGGGGGGGGAGAAGCGACTAAAGGCCTTTCTGATTCCGGTTTATTACAAAAGGGTGAAAGGTGATGGACTTGACTCCCTTGAAGTTCAAAGACATCATATATTCACTCCCCCCCCCCGCTTCTTGCACCCCCTCCTCCCGTTTTCTCCCCCTCCCCCGCAACAAGTAGAATCTTAATGCACTATTAGGTTATTCGGCTCTTCGGATTTATTTTTTTTCTTCAGCTTAGAATGCCCCGATTTTAGGGGAAGGTTAAAAACAGAGCTGGACTCAAGTCTCACACGGTGCCTCTCCAATTTGGATCCTTCCCAGTCCAAAATCCCGGCATCCAAATAAGAAAGGAAGGAAGGAAGGAAGGAAGGAAGAGGAAGGAAGGAAGGAAGGAAGGAAGGAAGGAAGGAAGGAAGGAAGGAAAGAAAGAAAGAAAGAAAGAAAGAAAGAAAGAAAGAAAGAAAGAAAACCCACCCTTCCTTCTTTCCCCTCCCCGGGAAAGCGCATTAACGGGTTAGTCCTACCTCGCACGGCTTCTTAATACCCTTGTAAAGTCCCACATGGTCTATAAACTTGGATTTTACAACTGGCATTCCATTTTAGCTGGAGAAAAACTTTGAACTAGGCCTCCAGTTTCATTGTGTCGCAGCCCTGGCAAAAAGATGTGGGAGAGGAGGGGGGGGAGGAGGAAGGGGGAGAGGTTGGAATGAGAGCGTGTGTGTGCGGGGGCAAGGGTTGGGGAGGGGGGGGGAGGAAGCTGGAGAAAGGCTCAGCAAAGGCACCCTTATTTGTTTACTATTTACTGCGGAAGTCTTTTTCTATGGCCAGACGGTGGTCATTAAGGAGAAGTAAGCTGTTTAGGGCTGCAGGCTTTATTACAATGTCTAGACTAGTCGCCTCCTTTGTCCAGACAAAACCGCCGCTGTGAAGGTATCTTGACTGGACTTTGGGACTGGGGGAGATGCGCCTTATTGCACCTTGGCTGAAAGTTTTCCTTAACCTTGGAAAGGTTTCTCAGCCGCCTCTTTGGAAAAGGAAAAAGAGCATCTTGAAATGGCGCGCCATTTTGTTTTCTCAGTTATCGGGCTTTCTTTCTTTCTTTCTTTCTTTCTTTCTTTCTTTCTTTCTTTCTTTCTTTCTTTCTTTCTTTCTTTCTTTCTTTCTCTTCCCCTCCCTGTCTCTCCCCCCTCCCAGTCGTACCACCTCCCCCCACTTCAGTTTTATAACCTGGACTTCATCCGCCTTTCAGTATGTTTTGGCTAGTTTGTGAAATAATCATCCATACGACATCTTTATATTAAGCATGTGCACAGACTTTCTGAATCTTTGAGGAAGTTTGTTACTTTGGCGTTGGGGGCTCAAGGGTGGGCTGGAAAGAAGAGGATCCCAAACCGAATAGAGAGAGCGGGAGGCAGAAAAATTCCCACCCAGTATTTTTGTGAGCAAAATAGATGATAGACAGGCAGGCAGGCAGGCAGACAGGCAGGCAGATAGACAGAGATAGAGAGATAGAGACAGAGGCAATCCTTACCTCATCTAATAGAAAACATTTCTGTTCAGGCAATCCATCCTTGCTTCATGATGAAATTGGAAATGGATCTAACAAGCAGACTGAAGTTTCTCACCCATTTTAAACCTGAGCATATACTTGTGGATGTAACCATAGTTTGATAAAACCCAAAAGGTCCCTTCGAAGTATTTTAATGGAATATAATCTGTGTTAACAGTTTATCAGCCACTGTGTGAGAAAACCTATTTTGAGCTCAGTTGTCCCTTTATCCAGAGGCTGCATACTTTCAGGAACCGAAGGAAAATTATATAAGGAAGGATTGGCCAAGGTGCAGTGTCAAATGTAGGGCTACACATTGAGAAATATTAGGCTCCTTCCTTCCTTTTTCCTCCCTCCCTGTTTGTGATACTCCCCACATCTGCATAATTAAAACGTGCATTAAAAACTAGTTAGACACTTTCTTCTTATTTATTTTAGCAAATTGAGGCTCTCTGAGAAGGGGGGGGGGGGGGGGCTTATTGACATGCAAACATAAAATTGCACTTCTGTCCCACGTCCTGAGGTTGAACTTGTTTTGCTTAAGAGAAGGAATTAAGTACTTGACTTTGTATTTGCGCCTAGCACAAGGGGAAAGGGGGTGGAAAGGAGGGGGCGAGGTACTTTATCCTTGACATTAAGGAGAATTTCGACTTCTTTGTCGGGGCAGACAGAAATGCGCTCCTTAAGCATTCGTCGCCCCGTAATGACATTTTGGGGCGGGAAATATTGCAATATTGCTCATTAACCACCATTTCAGCATATTGTAACGTATCATTGCTGCAGAGGTGGGGAGAGGGGAAAAAAAGGGGTGGGGAGAGAGAAATAAAGAAACAAAAACATTACTAGATGGGAGAAACAAAGACATCTGGAGCCAAACATAGCGAGGCCCCGTATTCCTGGGCCAAGAAACGTCTATAAATGTAAATGCAGCGATGAAAAAACGATGAACCCTATTACAAATGTCTACTTAAACACAGAAGGTTCATATTAATGGGAGTATATCCCATGCAGGATGTTTCTCTCTTATGTTCGATACATTTGTATATATGCAAACACACACACACACAAATGGGGATTTAATTTGCACAAATCTTTCTCTGTCGCACAGATATCCAGGCGCTCATACCGCACATGGCCTCCTTTCTGCTCTGGCATTGAAAAGTCTTGCAGGAAAGTCCACACCACACTGACTGCAGTTTGTCTTTTTAAGAGGGAAATACTAATAAAATGGTCAAATAAAATCATAATATAGAACAGCTTGAAATCTCTTTATTTGCCATAGAATTTCACAGAGTTGCCCTGGATTCCGTTCTTTACATACAACCAAGATTTATTTATAACTGCCGGTTGCTGGAGCCGGTTGCTGGAGCTGTTCTTGTCCTTGTTGCTGTTTGCTGGTCTCTCATGTCCAGGGGAGGGAGGGAAATGCATTTACACACTATTTAAGAGACAGTTATTGCAAATTTATTGTAGTCCATTCCACTTCCTCCCGGTCCACCCCCCCCCCCCCCCCCCCACCCTGACCCCAGATGTAGAAACGGGATGGAGGAGAAAACTCAACCCGGGGCTGCCTCGGTATGTATATATCACAGGTCTATGAGGGAATCAATGGAACTTAGACTATTATAGTGACGCCCATTCTCAGAAAGGAGATTTAAATCAGTTTTCAAGCAGCAAGGCCTGTTCAGCAATGGAAGCCCCGATGAAGAGGGGTGTGTGTGTGTGTGTGTGTGTGTCTGCATGGCGGGACGGGGGTGTTGGTTGTGTTGGTGTCATCTAGTCATCTACACCCATGCACGCTTACCTGCGCACTCACCACGCTCGCTCACCTACCCACACACACACACACCTATCCAAGCACACTCCTACGGAGCCTTCCTCCCAGCTGAAGACTGAAATTCTTTGGGTAAGGAGATGTTTTGAGAAAGCACAGCGTCAATAACCTGCATATCAGAAATCAGGGCCATCACAAAGCATTTTCGGAACAAGAACTCAGTAGGTTCTTCCAAAGGATGGAGAAGATGAGAGATCTGAAGGATGGTGATGAGAAAGGAGAACAATAATAATAATAACAACAACGACGACGACGAGGACGAATCGGATTCCCATTCTTCAGAAGGAAACATTTCATTAGAAGTTCATAGAAATAGTCAGTCTTCTTCAAGGTTTAGGGAAAGGTAGAAGGGGCTATACAAGACTTTTTTAAAAAAAAAAAATCATGTCCCAAACTGTCCCCCAAAATACAAATCTAAGGAAGGGGGAAATTTTTTTTTAAAACTCAGGGGTTGTTTCCAGGCTCCGCTGTCAAGTCAAACCGTACTTTGCAACATTGTTTCTTCTTCATACACAGAATACTTCAACGAGCAGAGGGGTGGTTGTGGTTTGTTTTTGTTTTTTTGTTTGTTTTTTTGTTTGTTTTTTTAATTTTTGTTTACAAAAGGGTAATAAAATAAAAAGAAAGTTCACAATAAGGGATTTCCCGAGAAATACTGCAGGCGGTCTCTGCTGAGTTTTTTTTCTTTCATCCGTCTGTTTTGAAACCAAATTTTAACCTGTCGATCCGTGAGATTCAACATCCGAGACAGTTGCAGCCTTTTCTCTTTGTTGATGTAGACGTTGAAGAAAAATTCCCTTTCCAGCTCTCTGATCTGGAATTTCGAATAGGGACATCTCTTCTTCCTCGTACGGGGGGCACCTTAGAGGGAGAAAAGAAAGCGAGAGAGAAAATACCACCAGAAGGCAGGAAAAGCAGCTACAACAAAGTATCCTGCAAAATCCTAACCTTTCTCTCCCCCCCCACTCACCCCATACCGCCCCCCCCAAACAAGAGCTCACTTGCACACGAGTCCTTCCACAGTCCACACACACAAACACACACGCTTCTGCCAACAAAACGTCTGCAACATATTACAACCATGTGGGTAATTTTTCCCGCTCAGTTTTTTAAACCTAAAACAATTTGCCACCCTGGGCTTCTCGGCCCTCGGAATAAGAGCCAAGAAAGAGTTCAGGCGTCTGCAATACTGCTGGGAAATAGACTTTATTTCCTTCTTCTTCTTTTTTTCCCCTTAGTCTTGCCCTGTTCAGGACCAGCCCGACTCCGAGTGGAGCAGAAGTAGACAAGGCAGGCTCTCTGCTTATGTTTCTGATTAACCCCTCCACACACACGTTTTTCACGCACAAAGAAAATCAAAGCCACAGATCTTAAAACCGAATCCCCGCCCAAGAAACAGGGGAGAAAGGAAACACTTCCCCCCCCCCCCATCCAGGCACTCGAGTGGCAAATAAAAACCTGGACGCGCGGCAGGCAGCCCCTACAATATTTTACCGTCCCATTCAGTTGTTATGAATGAAAATCGATGGCGGTAAGGACACATGTCTGATCAATTGCTTCGATCCACGTTTTTCAAAGAAGAACCATAAATGTATGCTTTATGCGAGGGTGGTGGTTGGTGGGATGGGGGGGGGGCGTGTACAGTCTCTGAGATGTCCTGTCTGTGTTTTGTTTTGTTTTGTTTTGTTTTGTTGGGGGGGGGGGGAACGCCGCGCGAGCGTGTCTGTGTGTGATTTCAGATGTCAGCAAAGTACTTTTAGCAACAAAGTAAAACTGCATAAAGAAATGAAAAAAAAAAGAGGGAGTTTAGCCGGGGTTTCGAGAAAGATCAATGACATCTGGCAAGCAAAGCAAGCCTAACTTTGTGCTCGGGACGTGAAGGTGTTGCTCTTCCCTGTGTTTATACACACATACAGAACACACGTGTATTTTTTTTATATAAAAAAAACATAATTATAATCATCATCATCATCATCTCGCCCACCGCTTACCCCGCCTGCGCCTTTCGGGAGGAAAGGAAACTCTTACTTCTAACCCCCCCCCCCCCTCTCTAAAGCCTGGCCTCAAATCCCGTGAAAACGATCCCCATAAGTTCACGATCAAAGTTAATATTTGTCACCCCGGTGGGCTTTTCAAATTTCCCCGACTGGGGGTGGGGGTGGGGGGTGGGGGAGAGAGCCTGGGTCTTTCGCCCCCCGTCTCCCTCTCTCTCTTCCAGAAGCCGTTTTCCCCTCGTAAACATTCCTCCCGTTGCAAGACCCAGCTTTGCAGCTTATCATAAAACCCCTTTGAATGCTTATAAAAAGTCCACATAAAAAACCTGGCCGACAGAAAACAGCGGGGCTAGTTCCCTTCACCTTTCCCGTTTTTACGGCCGCGGCGCTCGCTCCGCTCCCGCGCTACCTACTGGCGCTGCTGGCTTTGCCGGCGTCCTTGTTGGCCGAGGAAGACGAGGTTGAAGAAGCCGGGTTGGTGTTTTCCTCCTCGTCTTCCGGGTCGACGCCCTGCTCGCCGCGGGATGACAGGGCGGTGGGCTCGGCGGCGGCGGCGGCGGCGGCGGCGGCGGGGTCGCTCTCCAGCTTGCTCTGCGCCTTCTGCGGGCAGCCCTCGAGCGGGTTGTCGGCCGCGCAATAGGCGTTCTCGAAAAAGCGGTCGAAGCCCTGCGGCAGGACGCTGTTTTTGTTCACGCCGGAGTAGAAGCCGGTGGGCGGCGGGGGGTTGCCGCTGGGGGGGTGGTGGTGGCTGTAGGCGCTCTCGTTTTTCATCAGCATCTCGGTCATGGTGGCCGGCGGGAGGCAGTCCCGGTGCATCAGCTCCTCGGCGGAGTAACACGAGGCGTAACCGCTCCTAGGGTGCCATTTATTCGAGGGGTCCAGCCCGTAGGAGACCTCGCGCACGGGCTGCACTTGGGAGAGGTTGGCGGAGTAAGGGTAGGAGATCTGGCGAGACGGGGCCTGGGGCAGGAAGGATGACACGGTGGAAAATTCGGGGACGTAATAGGTGCAGCTGGGGAGGTAGAGGTTAGAAGCGCAACCTGCTCGCTCCCCGAAGTCGCCGCTCCGCTCCTTGCGCGACTGGGAGCAGAAGTTCCCGAGGTTGACCGAGTTAAACATCTTTCTCCTTTTCTCGCTCCTATAGATAGAGGTTGGGGATCCGAGGTGCAGAGGGGGAAAAATTTGGGAAGGCGAGATGACGCGCTATCCGTCTTAGTCGCGCTCTCCGGGACACGTGATCCAAAGTAGATATTGCCATATATCAGTTTGTGAAGCACTTGGAAGCGTAGGAGTGGTTCACTTAGGTAAAGATCTCAGAGGTTCAAACGATTGGTTTTCAAACACCGCAGAAACATTATGAAAATCAATCGCGGAATTTGTCTCCGCGGTCTGCCAGGCAACACACCCCTTGTCAGCATTCAGAGCAGACGTCAAGGGATGGCTTTAGGAAGTTCTCTCTTCCTCTTCCTCTCCCCTTTTGGGTTTGGCTTTCAGGGGTTCGGGTGGGGGATTCCGATGTGGGGTAGCTGGGGGGGGGGGGGGGGGGGGGGGGGGGGTCTATCCAAGGCTTTAACTGTAATCTCCCCCCGCATGTGTGTTCCTTTCCCATGCTAGTCATATTTTAAGTGCTGGATTATCTCTCTCCCCCCCCTTTTCCTTTCCCCCTTTAATGGAGATTGAATTACTAGAAGCTCAGAGGAGAGGATAAAGATTCTTCAGTAAGTTTTTCAAATATTTCTCAAGGTCTCCATTTGGGAGCGAGGCTTGCAGCCACATTCGCTGTGCATCTTGCCCAGGAGGGTAGGGGGACAGAGAGAAAGGAGGGAGCAATTAGCCCCTGGCCTTCCCCACTGATGGATCGCCTGGTTGCTCTAGCAGCATCTCAGGTAGGCAGAAACCGTGAGGAAATATCCTTTGGCAGCCGGAGGGGAGTGGTGGAGTGGTGGTGTAAACTTTAAAACTTTTGCCAGAGATGGAAATCCAAAACTGGAATCTGGTGAGGCCTAGATGAAAGAGTAAAGTAAGCCCAGTATGAAAGAGGCCAGCTCAAAATGAAGAACCGATTATTTAAAATGAGGACTGATAAAGGATCAGAAGCCTGTATTTTTTTTAAAAAAATGTTTGGTTAAATATTTATCAGGTAAGAGAAGTAGAGTGAATATTTAATGCAAGTGTTTATTGTCAATCAATATATGTTCACCGTGTCTTGTAAATTTATTTGGTCAGCTAAGTTGGGGGAGAGGGATGTGTGATAGAAATTAAGGAGTTTTATTAAAGTCATTTGTCCTTGTACCCCTCCTTTGGATATTTTTCTTCTCATTTTGTATCACACCACGATTTAAAGCTGAAAGAAGATATATTTGGGAAGCCAGTGCCGTTATTGACATTTCCAGTGACTTTCAAACAATAGTTCCCTTCCCCCAATATTAATTCAGGAAACTATGATAAAAGATATATAAAACATATGGGCAGTTGGATGAGGTGACTCATATATCCATAAAAGCATCCAAAAGAGATGTTTTTTTTTTTTTAAATGAACGTGGACTTGATTTGCTGCTTAAAGTAAAATGAAGAATATATATATTTAGGTATTGTCAAAACTGCAGGCTACATTTGTTTAATAGAAAGAGCAGAGCTGTCTAATATTCTCTTGCCTCTTTGTTATTTCCTCCCTTTCTCCTCCCCTCCCAAGTTTTATGTTTGTCCTCTTTAATTTACTTCTTGCTGATTCTGTTTGCTCCATTCTGTTCTTTCAGTCTGTTCCACCGTTGGGAAGTGAGATGGGTTGGGAGGAGGGAATCACCTACAATTTTACTTTGTTTAGATAAAATCCTCCTGCCTTTATTGCCGTCACTGGCTCCACTTTTGGACAGTTTAAAAGCCCCATAAGAAAATTCACTCAGTATCAGAAGAGTAAAATGACTTTAGTAGTTTTATCCTGTCCATACGTGTTGTAGGAAACTAAAGTCACAGGAAGAAATGGGAAAATCCAGAATTGTAGTAGCCGGTTTACAAAATAATACATTAAGAATGTTGTCTGTGCACTGTTGGCAAGGAAATTTTTCCTCTATGGAAGACAGGCTGGTGTGAATCTTTTAAAATGCACTTCTAACAAGGAGACTAGAAAAAGACAAAGATGGCCTGATTTACCCTTCTGGTTTATTTTCAATGATGTATTTTGATTAGGATGACCTTTCTTGTCTTTCAAAGCAACAGATAAGGGCTAGTTGGCAAGGCAAACCTGGTTTGCAGGAGTATTTTTTCTGGGAAGGTTTCAGCATAGAGCCAAACGGAACTGCAGTTAATAAGCAAACTACTTTACAACAAGAAAGAGATCAGCTTGATGGACCATGTCTCATAAAAGACCAAAACCTTGTTAATGTGAGGGGTGGTAGCAGTGGTGGTAAGAAGGGGGGAGGACACGGGATGTGGACTGAAGAATCCTTCCCAGGATGGCACACCTGGCATTGAGGCATGCCATCTAAAGCCAAGATGGCACCACTGGCAGCCTTTTTCAATTCGGAGCCTTCATTGATGTTGTAAAAGGAGGAGGTCCCCTATTAGTTTTATGGCAGTCAAAAATCAGGAATCTGATAGCTATTTTGAATAAAATGTGCCTGTCCGGAAAGCGTGCCACCACATACTTTATTAGGGACCTTTCAAGATAAGCTGGAGGAAAGTCAAGTGTGTGTGTGTGTGTGTGTGTGTGTGTGTGTCTGCAGCATTTCGTAAGGCAAAAGATTAAAACTTGCCTACAATGCTGCCCTCACTCCAGGTACGATTTTAGTGTTTGGGCTGTTTTACAAACTTCTTCCTCTGGATAAGTAATTTTCTAAATCGCTCCAGACACATCCACGTTCCCCTGTCATATTATGAGGGCACCCCTGTGCCAGGATGTAAAGGACGTCCTGTGTTTGGCCATTGATGCCAATCTCCATTTCTTAAGCCTTACTTTGAGGAGTTGGGAGACTTCTTTTGGTCTCTCCCAGCTGTCCATTAAAGCATCAGGGAGCCTTCCCCTTGTCTTTTATAGAGTAATATTCATACGTACAGCACACTATTAAAGGTATTGTTTACAAGGCTTATTATCCCTCATCCATTCATGCCTTCCTCAACCCCCACCCCCTCTAACACTCCGAAACCTGCCCCGGCAGGGCGATGATATTTTCAGTAAGGCTGACTGGGAAAGATGCTCCATTCTACATCTGATCCAAAGGCAGTGTGCGTTGGACCAGACCCCCTTTCTCCCCCTCCTCAGTTTTGTACTTGGGGTAGAATTACTTCCCCATTTTATTCAACTCTTTTGGTGGTGGTGAACAGAAGAGATCTAAAGGTTTGTGGCTAAAAGTATGTGGGGCGTAATGTCTGAGGCTCTTTCCTCTAGGTGTGTGGGTAATTTACTGCTCTTAATAGGTAGATATAAGTTTGAACAAGCCCAGCGCTGTGGCCTGCTTTAATGCCCGGTTTAAAGTATAGGATTTGTCGGCTTCCTGCGAAGAAACACGGAGAAGACAGCTGTGGAGCCCTTGAATTTGAACCAGCAAAGTCAATTCCCTGACTACCATAAAACAGAAGAATGAAGGCTGGAAGTCTCACATTCCTTTTGGTTTCCACTTAAAAAAAAAAAAGAAAAGAAAAGAAAAGAAAAAAGAAAAGAGAAGAAAAAAAAGGAGGGGAAAAAAAAGGCCCAACGCACACAAATATATATATATGGCGAATAAACTGCAAGGTCCGCTGAAATGCTTTCATCCTTGAGAGATTTTATCTTTGCAGCCGACCCAACTTTTTACAAACCATTTTAGGACCCTTTTTTTTTAATTGTTAAGAAATAAAGGACAGCCTGATGCAAAATGGGAGGAAGAAAAGGAAGGAAGGAAGGAAGGAAGGAAGGAAGGAAGGAAGGAAGGAAGGAAGGAAGGAAGGAAGGAAGGAAGGAAGGAAGGAAGGAAGGAAGGAAGGAGGGTGGGTGGAATAAAAAAGAGAAAGCAATTTTGTCATTTTTCAAGCCAGGCTTCGTGTATGCAATTAAATGTGTATATCTACAGCCAGCTGGTTGTTTATGGCTCTTTCAATATTGCATTGCATGAAATTGCTATGTTAATACAAGGGTACATTTCCATCCTCTCCTGCCAATTCATTTTCTGACCTAAGGATGAGCCTGCTTAAACACATGCTAGCGGTTTTTTTTATTTTATTTTGAAATTATTTTTAAAGACACATGAGTGAGATAGTTCAGCTTGGACAAGACTTTCTAGGAAACTTTCTCTTTTTCTTTCTTTCTTTCTTTCTTTCTTTCTTTCTTTCTTTCTTTCTTTCTTTCTTTCTTTCTTTCTTTCTTTCTTTCTTTTTCCTTCTTTCTCACAAATATCAGCCTTCAAAGAAGCAAGGCCCCATTTTCCTTGCAGCAGGCTGAATGGCCAGACTTGAGTTCTGGGGTTGTTTGTATATGTTAAAGGAAGTTGAGTCTGACCCTTATAACACGCAGAGGATGAATTTGTATAGGAGCTAGAAACACGTGCTGCCAGTAAATGGGTCTCTCCAGGATAGCGAGAAAAATAAATAAATTCATGTTCTCCTGTACCTATTTTTATTAACTTCCCACTCCAATCTGATAACAATTTTTTTTTTCCTCCAGAGTTCTTTGGTTGATATTAGCAAATGCGGTATGGAGTCTGTTTTGGAAAAGGCACCTTAAATGTTATCCATTAAACTGATTGTGGTCCAGTCACCTCTCCAAGCATATTAATCACAAGCTTTCAAGCAGTGCAAGGCAGAGTGCTTTTAAAAGGAGAAATCAGGAGAGAAGGGGGAAAAAAAGAAAAGAAAAGAAAATAGCGCTTGCCTTTTCAGCATTAAAAAAAAAACCACTTGCAGGCTTTTTCCAAGAGAATGCTAGATACTACTCTGAACACACTTCCTTTTGCTTTAGATAACTCAGATGATTATGTCGACAAATAATCATTGTAATAATTTGGGAACCGGCACCGCTCAGCTTGCGTTAAGCAGCTATTTTCTCCTGCCTTGTATCAGGCCAAATAATTTCCCTCATTTTCGGACGCCTTTATGAACTACATATCTCACAGTTGCGCCTTGAACTAAGGCCCAATGATTTCAGTGGAAGAGGCTTGCAAATAAATGAGTTTGGAATCACAGCCTGGCATTTGATTGCTTTTCTTTTATGTTGCAGTTTTGGCGCAGCAACAGAGTAATTACTTCCCAAGGAGGGGAAAAACAAAAAAAAAATGAAAAAAAAAATCCAAGTATTTAAATCAAATTGCAAACCTTGCGGGCATTAAAAGGAAAGACTAGCGAAGCCGTACAGTTAAGGAATCGAGGACCAGAAGACAATAGCTACAAGAAGGAAGCTGTTGGAAAATATTATTGCCCTCCAATGTCAAAGATAAATTTAATTGGATGGGAGCCAGCCTACTAAAGATGACTTCATAAGCAGCATACGGTTCCAAGATAGAAGGCGAGAGGCAGGCCGAGCTCTTTCAGAGAGGCTGGAT